AGATTTAGTGTTTTTCCACTGGTTTATGCGCGTTGCTTCAATGACTTTCGTATTAATTCAATCCAGGATTTGTTTACTAACTCTTCCAATTTCAGATTTGCTCGGGTTGATAAGGCGGCAACGAATTAAGAACTGTGCCCACTATCTAACAAATGTACCACTGAATCGGTTGTATATCAAGCCACAGTCACTACTAAGGACAAAACAACAAATAGACCTCCCCAAACATATGTCGGACTTACAGAAAACTCGTTTAAAACAAGACTTGCAAACCATAAAGCATCATTCATCTCTTTCGACAAACAGAACGCTACCGAACTAAGCAAATACGTGTGGGAATTGAAAAACAAAAACATCAATTATACAATCAAATGGAAACTATTGAAACGAGCTAAGCCTTATAACTGTGCTTCAAATCGGTGTAATTTGTGTTTATGGGAGAAATACTTTATTATTTGTAAGCCTAAAATGGCCACTTTAAACAAACGTAATGAGTTAGTATCAGCATGTAGGCATAATAAAAAATTCCTTTTAAGTAACATTTAAAAGCTAGACATTTAAATATACCGCGGTGTGTTAATCTTTCCGCGTCCTGTCAGCTTATCACATAACATGTTAATTAAATCGCGTGGTTTGTAAATAGGATTAAGTTTTTTAAAGTCTCATCCACTTGTATACATATATAACCTTGTAAGTTTTAGTCTATAGTCATTAGGTCAATTTATCTGAAGAGTGCCACATTTTGTGGTACGAAACTATTTAGTAATAAAGATGCCTAGTGGATTTTGTTGATTGTTGTACCTTAATTTAAATATGCTCTGGTTTTCCATTGAGCACTTTACCAAAAGTTTTTATAACCAACGAAACCAAAGCTTATACATATATATATATATATATATATATATATATATATATGTGTGTGTGAAGTAAAGATTGTTGCTCAAGCTTGTGTGCAGAAAATATCTGAACTCCCAACGGGAATCGAACCCGTGTCTCCTGATTGCCGGTTCGCTTGTTTTACCACTAGACTATAGGGTTTCAGACAGCAATGCGATGTAAACTAGAGAAAACAATGCGATGCAATCGATGTAAACTACAAGCTTGAGCAACAATCTTTACTTCACATATATCCAAGCTTACAACATGTACTAGACTTAGTATATGAACACACAAACACAACAATATCGCATTACAAAATAGTATGATGAGCCTTTAAGTACAAAGGACACATATAAACGGTAGGAACCAGGTCTCTAGTTTACATCGCATTGCTGTCTGAAACCCTATAGTCTAGTGGTAAAACAACCGAACCGGCAATCGGGAGACACGGGTTCGATTCCCGTTGGGAGTTCAGATATTTTCTGAATACAAGCTTGAGCAACAATCTTTACTTCACATATATATATATATTATATATAAATATATATATATATATATATATATATATATATATATATATATATATATATATATATATATATATATATATATATACTATTTAAAGCACGCGTAGGAGTGTTAGTAGGATCTCACGAATATTAGACTAGTAGAATCTCACGAATATTCGTCAGACGAGCAAAATATTCAGGAAACTGCACCTAAAATTTTGAAATATGTTGACCCTATCCTATCCTCCCAGGAAATACCATTTCCTGCTCTTTCTAGTCACGAATTGAAGAATCAAAATTGGTTTTGGTCAGTGTGTAAGACTTACTGAGTTACTGGGGTTAAAATCGCCGGAAAATAAGCATATAGTGAGACTATTTGGCGATGAGAAAAGCGCGCAATTTTTAATCAAGACATTGTGACTTAATCTATTTCGGGGCGGCTTAGCCCATCTGTGGAATCTGTGACTGGTGTTTTGTAGTGAAATTTATAGTGAAAATTTAACTGTTGTACCTGTCTTTCCCACAGCCAGCACAGGCCGAGCAATCAATATCTGCCCAACAAGGGAGGTTACAGCATCCAGTGGACAGATTAGATCTCCTAACTATCCAAACAAGTATCCAGCGAGCACTGATTGTACCCTGACGATCAAACAACCATTGGACACAAACTTTACTTTCACTTTTACGAAGCTTGATATCGAGGGTGATTCTGATGGTAGGTAACATGGTAGTGGTATTCACTTTTACGAAGCTTGATATCAAGGGTGATGCTGATGCTAGGTAACATGGTAGTGGTTGTATTAGTAGTAAAACTTTACTTAAACTACTCACGCTAGGCAAGAGCCTTGGAACGAGGTTGGCACTAGCATCGTCAACTTTAAAGCTGCTTTCCACGAGGGACATGTGAATAACATATTTAATTAATTTAACTCTTTATCGTTTGACGATAAATTTGATATTTTTCATTCAATTCCTTCTCAATGTAAATATCTCAACGAGTATTTACCCCCGTCCCCCTTTAAACGGAAAGCACCGTTGAAATCCTCATAAAATAACCTTTCGAATGGGGGGTCAAATGCCGTCATAACATACACAAACCAAAACAATAGTATATTTACTCACCGCTTTGCCAAACATTCTGTATTTCATATCGAGAAAAACTTGAATACCTTCTAAACCCTTCAGAATTCGCCTGAAGTCAATAAGAGTAAAATACGCTTTTACGGTACAAAGTTTCATTTGAATACGGCGAGTAGAAATGTTTATTTCGAATTTTTCAAAAATATCGGGTTTTTACTCGCACGCGCGTTTCACCAACATGATACTCAGGGTTTTCAATTCCGCTACCACCCGAAACCCGCTGCAGCGTAAACCCTGACACAGGCAACGTCGTTCCCAGGGTATCACAGGCTGGTCACGTGCCACCCAAATTTTAGGTGCTAAATTATCCGACTCAGGGAGGATAATTCATTATCACACGGCAAACCATAAATGTAAAGTATGTGCTGAAAGATTCTGAACTATGATTTGCTTTATTTGTTTAGATTTTTGATAATACACGGCAAAATTTCCTACGACAATGTTATTACATAAACGGCCGGAAAATGTAAAGTTGGTAGTTTTACAGCTTTCGTAAGAGCGAAACCCGACAGCACAACAAGACAGCGCTCTTCACGATTGAATTCCATTTTACTGTAAAACGTTTCTGTCCATAAATATTAGCGGTTTACTGTACATATAGAACAGATTTCTCGTGTGGTTGCCAGACAGCACACTCTGAATGACAATATTATAAACTATAGCAAGATTTTCACACCGATGCTCTTAGCTCATAACGTAAACAAGCGTGAAAAAAATTACTGCAATAAACCCAAAAAGTTATTTTCCTAAAAAATGACTGCATTCAGGCATTCACTTTCAGTCTTGACGGCCTTTTCTATCCTTCTATAACTATTATTTGCGTTTTGCGACAAGCATTGTTTAGAACCCCAAAAGGTGTAGCAATTTGACCATACTGCACAGCTAAGTAAACACGGGGAAGTGCAGCACTTAAACCGCTTAAAATATCAAAGTCAAAGACAAAGATAAATAGTTAGAAAAACTGAATTTCCTATTCGGCTAACGCTTGTTTATAACTTTTGAAATTTCACATGCCTATAGGGTTTCGCCTCAGGGGTTTCGCTGCATTGGATTTTGGGCGGTAGTGGAAGTGAAAACCCCGAGTATCAGGTTGCTGTACCACACGCTAAAATTTGACAATAAGGAGCACCCGCAGCCCGATGCACGTGCAAATCACGCTACAGGGGTATTTTGACTTTAGAATCGATTTCCGACGTTTCGCCAGCGTTAGGATGTTTACATCCCATTGTTTTGACATTTGAAGTTGTATTTCCGGTTGAAGCTCTCGCTAACAATTTAAATATTCTGAAATACCGAAATAGAAGACAGATCTGTAGATACAAGCTTGAAAATAACACTCTAAATAGAGTCTTGGATTGTGATTCGCACAAGACTATTACGAAAAAGATAAGTCGAAAGGGCCGAAGTTATGTTCGGCGAAAGGTACGCCTTATAGTAATACATTGTTTACATTGTTCTGGAACATTGTATAATCTATTAATGAAATGTGATATTGCTTGACCCTCTAAATGTCGTAAATCGCTATAATGTTGACATCTTACTAAAACTATCGATAGGAATTAGGAGATATTGTTTCACTGAATCGAACGGTGGTATTTTCATCTACATGCCCTGAACCAAAGATACGTACCTCCAAAGTCGTTAGCTTAAACCAGGTCGATATCGACCTGGTTTAATTATGCACAAACGGAAATGAGTTTTTAAGAACGTATACATTACATATACATTTTATAAAGGACAATGTAACCACATCTTCGATACCCTAGGCAAACACAAGTATGTCTATAAGGTATGCATAAATTTATAAAAGTAAATCAGAGAACAGTATATAAAGAGTGCTACATAAACGCTGTGTATTATACATATTGTCAATGTATCCGTATTACAGACATCTGCAGGGAAACTCCCGCGATTCAGATTCGCATGTTATTGTTAATGCTGATGAAAATCATTGGACATTGCACAAGAACAAATTAATTAAATTTTGGTTAAATTTGGACGAAATTTAGGTTGAAAAGAAATTGACAAAGGTTTGGCTTGCTATGCCGGGTGGAGTAAATTATATGCGTGATTAGCATAATTTATGCATGGCACAACATAACATTAGTTCGCCGGCGGAGGTATGTAGTCTTGAAGTGCTCTCCAGTTTACATATATTAATATGTACTGTGTTTACTTATTTACTTTACAGGAGCGGACTTGTCGTGTTATGATTCCCTCAAAATATCTGGAGGTTTATCAAAAGATTTCTGTGCGACCATCACTCCGGCGCCATTTGTACCCGGCCTGAATGTCGTCACACTGAGAATGGTGACAGATGGTAGTGTTCAACAAAGCGGTTTTGATCTCAATTTCACCACCACTCGTAGTAAGAAATATTTTGGGTGTGTTCAGCGGCGCTGGAGGGAAATAGGGCGGAGGAAGACTGGTCTTGATTGGGTGGGGAAGTGGGGAAAGACAAATCCCGGCTCCCAAGTCACCTCTTCACGACGAGTATCGAGCATTCATTGCATGACACTGTGGGCTCAAGCAAGAATATTCCCGCGCTTTTTGTTTTGCTTTATTTCGACTTATTTATGGGGAACTAAATCAACTAAACCTCAAATTGTAAGTTTAAATAGTTTCTTAATTGTGCTTGAGTTGCCTAATATTTCTCTTGCGCCTATAACTTTTTCTTGATCTCGAAATTCTACAAATAAATTAAAAAGTCTGCCGAAATGATTTAGAAATAATTTAGTATCGCTCAGCCCAGTCCCTTAGCCTCTTAGTAAGCGTTCTCATTAATAGCGGTGACGTCATAGGATCATAAAAGGCGTGCGCATAGGAATAACAACTAGTCTGAGTGTCGCTTGAAAGCTAAAAGAAAGGGGACGGTTGAGGAAAGGCCAAATAGCGCCCTCCCCATCTACACTGATTTCTTCAACCGTTCTGAAAAACGCTTGAAAAGCTATAAAACAACGGATATCGAACCCACAATCAATAACTGTTTTTTTTAATTTACTACACTTTTGTATTCAGGAGACTCCTGTTTCTTTACTTTACTCATGATATGAAGACGAAATTTATTGGACACATTGACAATGTTCTCCTGAACATTGCAAATTGCTACTTTTGTGTTAAAAATATGTTGTCATGGTAACAGCATGCTTAGAATAAAGCTCAAAATTTGTCTTTTTCAGATCATTTTAAAAATTCCCTTCCGTGAAATTTTTTAAAACTTTGCATAAAAGATAATACTTGTATATTGATTTTTTCCCCTCAATTTAAAAAAATTAAATCGATACGTTTCTTAGAAAATTAAAAAAACGTCAAAAATCAATATTAAAAATTTTCCCTTCAAGTTAATTTTAAAAAGAAAAGGGCAATTGCACTTGTTGTGCTGATATTAAAAAATGTGCAAAGTTTTAAAAAATTTTACCGAAGGAAAACAGAGAAGTTTGGGTTTAATTTTGGCAATTTTTACTAGATTTTGACGCGAACAATTTAATACCCCAACTGACGTGTACATGCATTGATTGCATTCTGCATAAAACTACAAGGCATGACTTTTTTGAAATCACAAAATATAAATTATGTTTGATATACTGTTTATAACATTGTCGGTTAATGGTCAACTAAGCGTGGATTATACATGTAAAATTGGCAAAGATATTTAGGTAATTACTGGTTAATATGACTTATTGGTATTAATTTGAAAAGTGTTTGTCAAAATTCGTCCCGTGCGAGTTAGTACATACGTCGGATGTTTTCGCAAAATGCCCTTCAAATTTAAGTTTTTATAGTGGTATGTTTGGAGTTTCGGTCCTGCTCAATTCACCCGTAGAGGGCTCATTATTTAAGTCATCTTTATTGTCATAAGTGCTGCTAGATTGTGGAGAAAACATTGCAAATTCATGAGGAAACTTTATATCATATCACAATGTTCGCGATCGAACCTCGCGTACGAAATACAAGTTTACATTATCTTCTTTTGAAACATCACATCCAAGTATCGTTTTGGCTTTTAGAACTCTTTTTATACTTTCAACTAAAGCAAAGTTCACACTTTTGTTTCAAAAAAGAGTTCCATATAAAAACACAACGTTCGTTCCTATTTTGAAGTCACACGAGTTTTAGTTTACGTATATACGAAGAACGTAACCCCCGGAAATAAATCCCTAGGGAGCCACCTTAATTTATAAATACGAAAGTTTTACCTGGGTTATACCAATAAACGAACAATTTTAGAAAACTTGAAAAAATCACGAAAAAATACATCTAATAATATCTAATACCTATCGCAAGGTAACATGCCAAAGTTAGATTACCTTTTGAGATTACTTCCTGTGTATAGAATATTCCTATGTTTATTTTTTCTAGCCACTGGTTTACCCCCAGCAGTGAGTGTGTGTCCGACCAGAACAATCACCCCCAGTGCTATTGGTCGCGTCCACTCGCCTGGATTCGCTGGTAACTATGGCCCCAATCTAAACTGTAAGCTTACCCTGAATGTGCCTTCAAACAAGGTTGTTGAAATTTTCTACAACTATCGCGATATTGAAGGTAAGTGCTCAAGAGTGACTACTGTATATGACAAGACACTCTAAAAACACTATGATTAAAATTTTCCCAGCTAATAATGGTAATTGCACTAAGTGGAGTGCAATTTGGTCTGAAATCAAACGCGTGATTACAAAATCACACGACGGCGAAGCGGGATTGAGATTTGTAATCACAAGTTTGATTTCAGACAGCCAAAATTGCACAACACGCGAATTTCCACTTGATCATATTCATTTTGAAATCTTAATTTTTAACAATTTTGTAAGGCGGAAACAGTCCAGTTATTAGGAAAGAAACCCCCTAGGAATTACCTTGTTTAGTTTACATGTGGGTTTATTAGTCTTGTATATGGTAAATGCTTTCTCATTAAAAAAAAATAAAAGTTACATTTTCCAACCGAAGTCAACTTTTACTTTATGTAGAACGGCGCTCTTTATTTCTTCTTTTTCTTCGTTATAACGAAAGCAATTCAAAGCATAAATAAGAGCTCGTTGTAAAACAATAGCTCAGAAAATGTACATTCTCAAGTTGTTTATTTTCAAGTTGACATTTTGTGTTTAATCTACGCATGATCCACACCGGCTCGTATCCCTGCCGATTAATCTTTAATCGGCACGCCTATATGCGATTGATGTTTAATCGGCACGGTTTTTAACCAATCAGAATTGAGTAAATTGGCTTATATTAATCGCACTATTTTTAGCCAATCAGAATATGATAAACCAGGAAATTTCCCTATTTAAGTTATCTTAATATTCCTGGTTAACTTTCTTGGTAATTTTAACCTTCTTTTTCTATAATCTGGTTAATTTGGCCAAGACTTCCTCGTTAAGTTAATTAAAATGCAATTGTTATGTTAAAATAACCAGACTACCCACCAGGCATAGTCTGGTTATTTTAACGTTAATTTGGGGAGGACAAACATAACCAGATTCCCGTTCACATTATCCAAACTATGATAAGAAGTGAGATAAGATAATCAAGAAATTTAACCAAGACAATTAATTAAACTCAAATAGTGCTATTTCTTGGACATACGCAGGAACGTTTAACTAGAGTGTTTTTTTTGAGCTAACAATAATCAAGTAATCAAGTATGAATTAAAAGAAACTGCGAATAGAAGTTTCAATTAACAAATGCGGAGTTCGTTTTTTAGTTATTCATTTACAGCAGACAACGGATATTCCGTCATCATCGTCGTTGTGGAGGATGTTGCTATTGTAGTGGATATTGTTGCTGTTGTTGTGGTTGTTGCTGTTGCTTTGTTGGTAATTTTGTTGTTCAGTTGTATGCTGTTGCAATTGTTGATGTTGTTTCTGTGGTTTTGGTCGTTTATGTCGATTCTGCTTGAATGTCAGTTGCTGTCGTTGTTACTCAAACTAACAGTAACTTATTTAATATTTTGCTTACAGTTGCTACCCAGTGCTCGAAAGACAAGTTGACGGTTGCGGACAACAGTGCATCTAACCAAACGTGTGGTGCATCACCTGCCGGCAGTCCGACAACATATAGAGATGGCAATGTCTCATTTCATTTTTCCACTGATGGGAGTGGCTCTGGAAGCGGATTTATATTGAGCTACAAACTCTCAAGTAGGTACAATCAATGAGAAACAATTTTTCTTCCAGTGAAAGTTGGACTTCCATTGTTACCTCTGTTTCTGCAACGTAAGAAATGCCCCGTTTAAATAAAATTATTATTTATTTAAAATATTCATGGTTTCTGATTGGCTAACAGCCAAATGTGAAATCGTCACACATAAGATGAAACACACTGCGATTATAGGACTGCTTTAGCAAACACAACGCGACGACCAACCTCGTTCCCAGGGTCTCACCTCCGCTCACCCCCTGCTCCGGAGAGACCCTGGTATGGTGTGGTCACGTGAGGCATGACCACGTGCTATACTCAGTAGGGGTAGCATGATTGAGTACTTATTACAGTAACTAAAAATAGCAAATGTATATTAATTAAAACAAAGAGTATTTTAAACAAAATTTATCACCTAAACTATAAAGGCTGTCGAACTGTAATAAAGCCAGGTAACTGAAAGAATATAGAAAGCATCACAGCAGGAATCTACTCGTCAATGATTTTGAAAGTTCCTTTTTTACAGCAAATCAAACCTTGAGTTGTGCTAGCTTATAAAGCTATTGACCCTATTGTTGTCATTAAATATTGTAGTGAAGAAGAATCGTTATAAACACTTTATCGTTGGCCCTCTACTGTTTCTTGTGTATATTAAATAATGACCTAACACAGAACGTGTATGTTTGCTTTCTTTCGCGAATTGTCTATTATTGCTCCTTTTAGGTAAAAACCTATCGGTTTTGTCTTTTACAAAAATTCAACAAAGTACAACATGTGGATGACTTCTCTTGCGCTAGAAATATGCAACTACGTTAATTGTACTAAAATAACTTTGTCAATACTTTAGTATAAGGTCACAAAAGACATGTGCAGTTATACAAAGTTATAATTTAAGCATGTAATTTGAAGGCATTAGAGCCAGCACCAGGGGCGGCGCTAACCCTCTTCGAGTGTGGGGGGGGGTGTGATCTTTTGGCGACTGTTGTTTGGTAATTTTGCCGAGTCATTAGCCTATAGTGAGGGTCCTGAAGTGGTGGGGGGGGGGTCCCAATCCCATTTTCCACCTGAAATTTTGGCAAAATCCCAGTTCCAGTTGGATTTTTATTAGAAATCCCAGTCCGAGTTATTGAAATCCCAGACAATAAAACCCCCTTTATTTATTGGTAGAATAAACAGTTTTAAGACCTTTTAAGCCACCGTGTGTGCAAGTGGCGGACACTTTATGAAATATTGGGGGGGGGGGCTAGTGCCGAAGGCACAGAAAATTTTAAAATTTGAATCCCGGAAATGGCATTTGCATCATTCTGAGACACGCATAATCAGAAAACCCAAAATTCCGGGCGCCAGAGTATGCCTGTTCGCAGGTAATGCTGTGAATAATATAGTTAACAACAAAAATCATGACTAAAGACACCAAAAACGGATCAAAATTGGGAATCGACTCACATTACTTCAATCCCATTCCCATTTTTGAGGACTTCATTTCCCATTCCCAGTGGCCAAATCCCAGTCGCAGCAACCCAAATCCCATTTTCCCAGTCTAAAAATAGGTCAATCCCAGTTCCCATTTTACCCCTTCAGGGCCATCTATAGTAAATGTGCATGTTTAAATGCGCTTTATTACCCTCTATTAAGTCGGTTTTCCACTAGCGAATTTTTCTGCGCGAAGCGACCTTTTTCCTTTGTCGGCATCCATTTTGCAGCCCTCGAAAAGTCAAAACCGTCAAAATTGAGGTCGGCAAAAGAGGGCTGACCTAGGTCGGCACATCTCGGCATTTCTTAAAATCTGTTCCACGTCTTGGAGCAATATTAATCACGCATTTACGAATCATTGAAATCGGAATATAACTGGAACGTTACCTCCAGCCGGAAAATTCGAAAGTTGGAGCCAAATTTTAACTCCAGATGCGCGAAATTTGATCTTCAAACATCTAACGTATATACACAATAC